TCTTTCAATATTTTTCCCCTACATCATCGTTCAAATGCGCTTCAGTAGGTACAGTAGGTGAACACACCCAGTCCAAACTTCTATATTTAGTTTAATACAATATATATAAAATTTCTGGCTGATGCCGATATCCGATATTAAGATTACTGATATCGCGATAACCGATATTACCGATGTCGATATTCAATTTTTGTTCACACTGAAAAATCAGTGTAAGTGTGAGAACGTGAAAACTATTCAAAAGAAGCCAAATTAGACCACATAGTCTTCTTTAACAAAAGTAAAACATATTTAAACATATTTAACGTTCAAGTCCAGGACCATTTAAGTAAAACATCTGTGAAATAGCAGCAATATCAAATGTAGAGACAAATGCACTAATGTTAAACAATCATCAGTTTTTCACATTGACTAAATTTGTTTATTGGACTGATTCCTACATATGGAAAAAAACACTAATATCGGCTGATACTGATGTAGTTGCTGATATATCGTGCATCCCTAACATATAATATAATAACCAGTCTAAACAAGCACTGTGCTCATGGTTATTAGCTCAACACCCTCATGTTATCAGGTTATGATGATGGTTCTGCGGCATACATGCTGTCAATCAAAGCTGTTCTTTCTTGGTGGAGGTGATACTGGATCACAGTTCCTCTCTCGGCTCGGGTTCTTTGATTTGTGCTTGTTAGCAAAGTGGTGCCTCTCCCATTTTACGTAAGACTTCTCCAACGAGCTCACTCATTACCGATAAGGGCATCATGACATGGAGCCTGAGCTACAGTAACATCGCTCAGCAGCAGTCGACACACAGGCTTTCCCTACATCAAAGGCAGCGACGGTAGGAGAAGCAGAGGGATAGCACTGCTAAGGGAGAGTCTGACACACGGCAAACACTGTGTTTAAAAGGAGGAGAAAAGAACCACAGGAATTAAGTGAGTTCTCTTATGTCTTACAGAGATAGAAAGAGATTGACAGATACTAAGAAAGAAAACATAAAGCAGCAGGGAAAGGATAAAGAAAAAAAAAAAGACTGAGAAAAGGTGACAGATAGTCTGTGATGGTGAGAAAGTAAAAGAGGAAAGAGAAAACACATTAAGGTGAGTGCTTTTCCTTCTGGGGTGCCTATTTTCACGACTCATATTGATGGGGATTACGCAGAAACACCTGAGTCTAGGATCAAGCCCCAATAGAAATGACAAGCTTCCTGCTGGCCTTTAAATCCCTTTAGGAAGCAGAGATTATGCCTTCACCCACACACACACGTGTTGACACATAACCATGCACGCTCACCCTTCAGCGTTTCAACAAAGCGACAAATGGACATTCACCAAAAGGGACCCTGAAACACCTAAATTCAGAAAGTCCAGAAACACACCTGCAGAGTCGGGGCTCGCACCGATCTGAAGTCGCACTCTACAATCTTACAAATAAAACACACTGCTCTCCCCTCCACCTTCACACACACACACACACACACACTGTGACCCACTCACATGCGTCAGCAAAAGCACCCTCGCTGACAGCCGACATTATGACGGCGAATGACACAGTAGCGACGTAGGGGGTCGATGACTCAACCAAGGTGCTGTGTACGTGTGTGCAGAATATTCCACACTGGACTGCTGTTTCAAGATCGAGCTGCGTCCGATCCCGTTAGTTTACTTAATTATTGATCTGATTTAGTCCTACAAGAGAGAAAAAAAAAGATCCATGCTACTAATTTTAAGCTATAACACACTTTAAAAACCAAAACTGAGTTGGTGATTCTGGCCCCAAGACAAGAGGGTATTGAAAGGACTAATCTATATCCAATTAGAGCATCAGTGGCCTGTGTGCCCATCTCTCCTTCATAATTACATTTTCCCTCGTGCTTGGCCTCAATTAAGTGATTCAGCTCTTCGTTATCCCAGCAAGCATGTGCAATTAGAAAGGCAGAAGTGGAGCAAAAACTTGAATCGTGCCGTCGCTGCTGTAGACTACGAGGGATTGTCTTGTTTTGGAGTGCCGGCAGGGGGTTAGGGAGCAGATTCGTTAACTTTGTCAGTGATTCGTTGTCTGAAGTGTCACATTTCTACACTTAACTATGTATGTAATGTCAGCGTGATAACAATCAGACTGTTTTTCTAACTTTTGTAGTCCAGTTAAACAGGAAATATGCCCATTCGCTTTCTTTCCAAATAAGAATATTGATGAATGCTTATATATACGAAGCTTCGGCCAACAGCCTCATAGATTAACGCAAAAACTGGACACAGGAAGAAGCCTGGGCGCTGCCAAGAGGTAACAAAACAAGTCCACCAGCACCAGCCAAATAACATGTTACATCTCATTTATTTAATCTGTGGAGACACTTTAGCATAAATCCAACAGTTCCCTGTTTTAGTGCTGGTCCAAGACTGGTCCTCAGAGGGTTACTGCTCTAATTCCCTACTCTCTCTCTCTCCTCCTCTGCTGTCTGTCTACACTTTGCTATCAAGTAAAGGCTAAAACACAAACAATTATTTTTTAAAAAGGCCAAAAAAAAAAAAAAAAAAAAGATTGTCTCAACTGGTAGCCATAGTGTTTTGTTTAAAGTTAAAGTAGGCAGAAATTAGGAGAGAACAAAAAAAAAATAATGAAAATAATAAATAGCCAGAATTTGGAAATACAGCCTCCTGCAGCTCTGCTTTCCGTTCTCCGACCAAACAAGCACAGGCACATGCATCCCCAACACGCAACTGTAATCAAACCAAAAGTTAATGTTCCTTGCAGCTTTACAGGATTTGAACCCCTTTGTAGTCTGTTAAACCAACTCAACTGTCACATCTGACTTGTAAATGGACTTTATGGACTATGAATCCCAAAATCCGTCTGAGACTTTCAAAGGCGTGTTGTCTTTCTTCTTCTTTTTTTTTTTAAATCTGCAAAATAACACGATTTATCATAGCTTAAAAAACTATAAAAAACAGAAATAAGTGTTGGACTTTGAATTTTCTGACAGTGCTTGAATCACTCATCTATGATGTGCCATTTGATCAGGAAACTCAAATTTAAGCTAAAAAACTGTGACATGTTATCAAAATCACTTTATTTTAAGCGTCTCATTCATTCTGTGCTTCTCTGTGCAACTGAGACGAATCAGCTGTGACCAACACTCACATGACATAGAACTTTCTGAACCGAACTGGATTGAACTGCAGGCTGTGTTTACAAAGAGCAGATAGAAGACAAGTATGGAAACAAACCAAGAATGTAAGTAGTGACACATTCATAGTGTGTAGAGTATTGACATCTGTGGACACTTACATTTTGATCTCATTTTTAATTTTTGTACAATAAATAATCAAAGAAATTCAACTTTTGTTTTAATGCCATGTTTGTGCTGTTTCCACAGACATCCAGAACTTTATATTGTGATTGAAAATATGTCAAGAGAATGGCAAAGGGTTAAACAACATTGCCTGATTTGGTCTAAAGAGACCAGTGATCATTCAAAGAGGAGGTGTAGAAGTGTAGTTTCATCTCAGACCACTTGAATTACAATATGCAGAAAGGTTAGTCTGGAATTTTGATCCAAAAACTTCTGCCTAACCAGGTTTAACATACAGATATGGGAGAAATACTAATCTATCCATCTCACTCTCCAGCAGAGAGCTACTATAAGCATATTTCCCCAAATGTCAAACTATTCCTTTCAAAGTTCACAGACTGCTGACCTGTACAAAATGTATACATCATCACTTTCGGTAGGTGCCTCCTTCTTATCTAAAAACTATTAATAGAAAGTAAAGTGTGGCGTTTTTCGTACAAATCAGTATTCCTCCAAAATTAAACCTGAATTTTTTCGAAAACGTAGTAGTTCTCATACACGGATGTGGTGAAGATCAGAGGTGCATTCCCAGCTTAGTTCCACGACAAGGTTCTTCAGAGATCCAGAAATACACAGCAGATTACTAAACACACGCTTAAACCACCGGCTAATTAAAGTCGTTAACACGTGAAGCGAGGATAGAGTTGACAAACACGTGATGAGCCCTGAATCGCATGACCATGTCAAGAGGATATAACCGAACATCGAGAGTAACCGGCGGCTTTTAGATACTTAAATATGCTTAAATAACGCGTAATGTAACCGTCAATTATGGGTCATACAGCACACAGGAAATAACTGGGATACTTCACATGGAATAATAAGTGCAGTCCTGCATCCTGAGAAACTGCTCAACCGAAAACACTTTTTGGCCTCTGTTCCCATAATAGACCGATCCTACACCATAGAGCACCATCTGCTCCGTGGAGCTCAACACACAGTCTGGTGATGGTGCTTCCACATGAGACGACGCGCTGTGGGAACACCAGCAAACCAGCACCGGCACCTCAGGAGATAAGCCGGCCAAAAGTGTTTGCTTTCCACAATGAGTGCACACACGCTCTCAAACATTTGCACGGGTATTTGCATATTTTCATACAAGCACATACCCGGATTTCACCAATAAAATAATACCGTCAACGGGAGAACGACTGTGCGGTCTGTGCACACGACCAAATGGCACGCAGATAGTGTACACACAGTATTTAGTTTCAGAGTCAAGTGTCAATTGTTTGAAGTGCTCTTCGATGACGAGACCTCCCATTTAAACAACCTAATTTATCTTCACATTTCTGGCCACCCTCTCAACTGCAGGAAGCATCACTGTAATGAGACTGACGGATTTTTTGAAATGCAGCATAACTGACCACATCCATTCATTTAGTGGTCATTACGCTGCCAGATGAACTGCTGTCCGGAGTACGACGAACAACATGATCTCGTCCTCTCAGAGACCGGTTGCTAGTGGGGAAATCGCACAGCTGAAAGCTCCTGATTATATCTCTACAGTGACCTATTTCAATGGAACGTCTAGAGGATGTTTGCCTTCTATTTATATACAACAGAATGCATAAATTACTGGTCGGTGCAGTGTGTTCAAAGCGGTGAGGCTTAAGAGAGCTGCAACAATAAAAGGGTTTCTTACCTCTCCTAAGTGAGGAGTGGGATTGAATCCACACAGATTGCACACTGCCTTCTTGCACTCGGTGCAGTTGGTGTAGTTGGGCGCGTCTTTCGATCCCATGTTCAGCTCCACGTTACAAAGAGGGCAGTTAGCCTTCGCTGCTGCAGCAGGAGCAGGTTCCTTTACTGGGGCCTTCTCTTCCTGCTCCACAGAAATGGTCCTGGGGGGTTTCTTAGACTTAGCAGGTGGAGTGTCAGGAGCGGAGTCTGAATCAGGGGGAGACCCGGGAGCAGAGAAGGGGGAGTCGGGTGGTGAGCCGGGGCCAGAATCCGCCGGAGAACCTGGTCCAGAGTCAACGGGAGACTCTGGCGGTGACCCAGGCTGAGCTGCTTTCTCCTCCTCCCCAGTGACCAGATTGGTGGCTGAGCTCAACAGGGACGATCCGAAGCTGAACATTTGAGAAGCAGCAGCGGGAGGTTTACCCGAATCTGTCAACCCTCCAAAACCTCCAAACAACTTCCCAGTCACCGACTCCTCCTGCTTTGGCGGCGCCTGTGCTTGAGGTTTCGACGAATCCATCAAGCCACCGAATCCGCCGAACAGCTTCCCGGTGACGGACTCGGCAGCTTGTGAAGCAGCTGCAGGAGGCTTAGCTGCATCGGTGAGGCCTCCTAAACTGATACCTCCTAACCCCCCGAAGAAGCTGGACTCCTGTTTGGGTTTAGCTGGAGACTGCTGGGGACTGGACTTCTGCTGGATGGGGCGACCGGTCTTGGGGTCAATTTTGGGGGAACCTCCCATCGAGGAACCCGGAGAAAGCGGTCCTGGAGATGTAGAACCAGGAGATTTCTGCCTCGGTGTGGTCGGTGGCGTCAACCCCTGGTCGCTGGTGCTCTGCTGCTTTATGAGCAGCTTGCCGGGCTTGCCAGACGCCTGTCTCTGCGGTGATGGAGGGGCCGAGCCTTGCTTGGGCTTGGTCATACCGGGGGGATCCATTCCTCCCATCGCTCGCTGCATCTGACAGTTCAGACACAGCCACTCTTTACCCTGTACGTGAAACAAAAAATAGGTTAGATCGGATTTCCACACTGTTGTGAGCACAAACATCAACCCCATGTGTAATTACAGTACACACACCAGCAGGCATAGCTAGTTAAAACCCCCAAAATAACCGTTTTCTTTTTGTTTCATGTAAAAAAAAAAAGACAAATCCAAAGACAGGTCCAGTAATTAGCGTTTCAAATTACATGGAATCCTGTTTTCCCCAGCTGGACTGCTTCTTACATTAAGAGAATTCAAATATAGCAACACTTACATAAATACTAATCCGTCAGAAAAGCAAATACTATTCATACATCAATGCCAGTTTATCTTGCCTTTATAATAGGTGGTTTTTCACTGTCTTTGCTCTGACTGTACACAATCTATCAAGACCTGCTCCAAAAAAAGCCTGGCTATACCACAGAGCTCTTTGTTCAGTGTTTGGATATCTCCTTGGTTTCCCCTGTGTGCAAAGTACAGCGTGTAAAAGAGCCTGTGTTGACAGTTTGATTGCTATCTAGAACAGAGCATTGTGTGTATTTTTTGCGTTTAATGGTGCTTATTGCATGAATGCAAACAGCTCACTCAGCCGATATATCGTTTTTTGGAAACCCAATAAATCTGCTTCCCAAAGTGATCAAAAACAAACTGACTCCATTAAAAAAAAAATCAAAAGAAGAAGCTCAAGCAGTCGTTGTGTTACAGTCACAGCCCACCAGCATTTACAGTCCATGTGTGTCTGAGTGTCCTCGCTGGCTGGCACAGTATCTTCCTGTGGCCATGACATGAGTCACCTTGATCAACATTCCCTGCGTCCATATGGTCCCTCTGTTTCTCAACTCATGTGCCACTCTTATGAGATGCCCTCCCTCTGCCAGGCTCACAGAATAGCAATATGCTGCTAACAGGCCAGTGCTGGATTCAGATAAATGTGTATCTTAAGTCACTATTGTGTCTTGTTTTTCATGCCCATAGTTTTATCTGACATCTGACTCATGCCAAGCTCATGTCCATTGATTCCTAACAGGTTTACAATTCATTTTTTTAAAGTTATTTTATGATGTTGCGAGAGAAGAGAAGTCTTGATTCAGTCTTCCGACTGGCAGAATATTAAAAACTACATCATTGTAAGTATGAATAATAGAGTGAATACATTTTAGGATCATATTTTTGCAGTGTAATGAGGAGCACAACGAAAATGTGTTACTTCACACAGAAAATATAATTATGTGTGACCTTTCCCACCCTCTGCCATCAATACCATGGACTGCCTGGTGTATTATCAGATAAATGCCAGTCTACTGCCAGCGGACTGGAGTCTTGTCTGACAATTAGACATCAGGAAAGCTCACAGCTTTATACACAAGATGTTGACATCAAATTAACTTACTACAGATTAAGTCATCCTTAACCTTTTTTTCCAAATCCTAAAAATGTGAGGACAAGCGGCAAAATAGAGCAAGAAAAGCAACCAAAAAGTTGCCACCATCTTACCTCTGAGTCTGGGGGGCTGAACCCACAGAGGCTGCAGACCTGGTTCTTACACTCAGTGCAGTTATTGTAATTTGGGGGCTCCTTAGATCCAGTGTTCAGCTGGGTGGTTTTACACAGAGGACAGAGTCCACCTGCAGGTTTTCCAGCTCCCTGCTGAGCAGGAGGCCCACCACTCTTGGCTGGCGCCCCAGGACCTTGTGGCCCTTGCTGTTTGGGTCCAGGTTTTCCTGGTCCTTGTGGTGGTGGACCACCTTTTTGCTGGGGAGGACCACCCTGCTTAGCTCCAGGACCTGGTGGTCCTTGACCTGGTGGTCCTTGACCAGGCGGTCCTTGACCTGGTCTGGGTCCCTGTTGCCCTGGAGGGCCTTGGCCTGGTGGTCCCTGACCTTGCCTGGGGCCCTGCCCAGGGGGTCCTTGACCAGGAGGTCCTTGACCAGGAGGTCCTTGACCTGGTCTGGGCCCCTGTTGCCCTGGTGGTCCTTGACCTGGTCTGGGCCCCTGTTGCCCTGGTGGTCCCTGACCTGGTCTGGGCCCCTGGCCTGGTGGTCCCTGACCCGGTGGTCCCTGACCTGGTCTGGGCCCCTGGCCTGGTGGTCCCTGACCCGGTGGTCCCTGACCTTGCCTAGGTCCCTGACCAGGGGGTCCCTGACCAGGGGGTCCTTGTCCAGGCTTTGGCCCCTGTCCAGGAGGACCCTGCCCCTGTTTCTGGGGCCCTCCCTGTTGTGGTCCCTTTGGACCTGGCCCTTGTTGGGGGCCCTTCCCTGGTGGTCTCCCTCCCTGCTTGGACTCGGGCGCTGCAGGTGCATCTCCCTCCTCCTCGTCCCCAAACAGTCCAAACTTGGGGATGTTGACATTGTCGCCCATGGAGGTTATGGAGGACGAGACGGAGGAGGTCATGGACGACACAGCGCTGAGGGGGTTGGCCCCGCTGAGGAAGCTGGAGCCAAACATGCCGGATGACTTGCTCTCAGGGTCTTTTGGCTCCTGCCGGAATCTGGATTCAAAGAGGCTGAGAGATGAGGGGCTGCGGCCTGGTGTGGGCTTCCCCGGTGGACCCTGGTTGAAGGCGTCAACAGTTCGGCTTTTACTGAGGCCTGTAGGGCCCCTGGAGGCCCCTACCTGCTGGGAACGCTGCTGGGCATCAGACTCTGAAATTCTGAAAAAGAGAGAGAGACACAGGGACAGTTTTTGTTATAACTGCAGTTATTAGTATTGTTGCGCTTAAATTGGCAGTGTGAGAAAACCTTATTAGCCAAGTCCTCACCAACTCTCAGCTGAAGCAGCTCCAAAACACAAATAACAGACCAACAGTGAGCAAGACTTTAATATCCGGGCAGTTCTGAAATCTACTTCTGCTGCACCACCTATCTTTTCCGTTAATCATTGTAATTTCAATGGATGATTTAACATCTGCAGCAGCTGGAAATTAGCTGTCGGCTGCAGCTTGACAGTGATTCTGGTCGATGTGTGTGATCCCTGGATAGAAATAATTAGTCTGTACTGTTTATGCTGTGCATTTTCTGAAACGCAAACATAAAAAGGTTTTAGTATCTTTACTGTTTAGTAGCCACACTCTGTTTCTTTTATGATTAGAATGCTGCACACAATTACCATATAAGCTGCCCACTGATAGAAACAAATGCTCTCTCTTTTCCTAAATCTAATATGGTGCAACATTTTGAGCTGCTGCATAAATGGATAATTATCACCCACTTTTTTTCTACTCGCCTGCTTTAAATCCTCACTGTTTCCAATACTTACTAACTCCACTGCCTCAAACAAAGCATCGCTGCACTAATAATATATGCTAAGACCATAGCAGTAGCTCTCAGGCCTATTCAACACATCAGCGAGCACAAAATGTGTAGTTAGCAGCCCAGGGGTAAAGCTGACAGAAAAGTGAATACCGCTGAATGACACCGAGTGTAGATTGTTGAGATAGAGAGAGAGGGAAAGCTCCACGGAGGGTAAAGCCGAGACGTCTTTGTTAGCTCGGGCTGAGAGGCAACATCCTACACAAAAGTCGACGTGATCTTTGGAAGAAGACGCACTAATGGAGCGGCTGTTTGTGACGACAACACACATCGGTTCCTTCAGTTTTAAGGGTCCCTCATTAAATTACAATGCAATAAAGTTCAATGCTGCTGTAATGAATATATAAAAAAAATAATAAATACAGTGAGTGAGGCAGGAAAACAGAAGTAGTGGTGTTGCAATGCCTCAGTCAGTCCACTGCAGAGAGGGTTTCAGCACCACGGACAGCAGCCA